GGGGGGGGGGGGGGTAGATCAACCCAGACGACATATTCGGCGAGCGCGAGCTGAGTTCTTGACGTATCGCTCCCATCAAGGGCTCCCAGCAACCCTACGCCGAAGGGCTTGCTATTCTGCACGCTGGCTGCTTATGGTCGCTAGGCGCGCGTTCGTAAAAAAAACATATCGCATCGCACGAAGCATGGGAGACGCCGAAACAGGCCAAACCGCCACGAGACAGCAAAAAGAGCCGCTTTTCGTCAGAGAGGGGAGGACACCGCAACTGATTTCTCGCCCCCTAGGCCACCGATCACAGCCAGACCGGTCAGGGCGTGCTCTCTGTTCCTTGCTCTCTGCCGGAATAGATTTGCTCGGCAGCGCGTACTCTCGATCCACGGAGAGAAGCATGCATGGTGCCCGTTGCTTTTTCGAACTGTGATTTTTTTCTGGTCTGCTTCACTTGAGAATAGACTGATGTGTTGAAGGCCTGGAAACAATTTTCAACAGACAGCTCGTGTACACGCAGACAACGATTTCGAATGATTGGATCAACGAGCTGCTGAGTAAATATACTCCCGCAGAGAGCAAGGAACAGAGAGCACGCCCTGACCGGTCTGGCTTCGATCGGTGGCCTAGGGAGCGAGAAATCAGTTGCGGTGTCCTCCCCTCTCTGGCAATAGGGAAGTTTTTTTGGGAAAGGAATCCAGGTGTATAATAATCAGCCTGAATCGTAGTAAACATTAAGACGCTGCGGAGAATCCGCTGAAATACTAGTATTTAGGCATCCTGTACAGAATTCAAAGAAACGACCAAGTGTATTATTGAGTTCGCATAGGGCCTCTGGATGGTTGTAGTTGTACGAAAAAATACATTGAAAAGTGTGGTACTCTACATACGCTGAAAAGTGTAGTACACGTCTCACCACGAAAAATGGGGGGACTGTCGCCACAATAAATAGGACGAAAACACACACACACACACACACACACACAACACAGGTCCTCGTGAGCGTGTCTCGCTCTTGGAGGCAGTAGTCGATTCCCATGAGTAAACTTCCAGAAGAAAGCTATGTACATAGTTTACGCCTATTTACTTCATATCAAATTGCCCTCCGTTTACAGCAGCAGGTCGATGCACTCACGAAGACCGTTGTATATACAAGTGCGAGTGGCCTCACAAACCCCAGACCGATGTTCAAGGCTCGATTGCACGGTGACTGACGGCTTGCCGGTGTCGAAAAAAGGGTGGTCTCGGGAAAGATCTCGTCGAGAGCTTTCCTCGCGCTGGCTTTCGCGCGATCTTGCCGGTTGTGGAGCATTCGAGCTGGAAAGTCGAAAGTCGATCTACAAGTAGGGGGTGTGCAACCACTCGCCCTCGAACGGTGCGGAGACCGGCGTTGGTCAACTGTTGGCGGATTGACGTGCGCCCGACTGTCGTCAAAGTCCGCGATCACCCGCACCATTCGGGAGACCGACTTGTACAAGGCGGTGCACAGGCAAGGCTTACCTGTTCTTTACACGCAAAGCCTATCGTCCGACGAAGAAACTTATCGCTAGTAGAATACAAATCGTCATTTATTTTTTGCTTATTCCTCTGTTCTTGTTGCCATCCCTTCGATTCAGAACGGTTTGCTCTTCCAGCACCGAGGTCGCGACAAGCAGCTATACTTGCCTCGCCATGACTGTCACATTTTACGAAACACGATCGTTTGCCCTGCCACGCTTTCTTCATGCTTGTCTTGAATGGGATGGGATGGGATGGGATGGGATGGGATGGCACCGGGCAGGCGTGTGTCCCTTTGCCGATGACCCGGTAGAGGCGGCAAGACGGGCTCTACAGGACGGCATCCTGGCGCAGCCGCTCGCTTTAGAATCTCTTGACAGTGCTCTGTCCTCGTGGCACTACAGGTACAGTGAGCGAGCGACCCCATGCCAGTCGTAAGTGTTTGAGTGGTGTTCTCTTAGTACTGAAGCATGCTAGTACCGGTGTGGATGTCAACCTCCGCTCTCTCTCTCTCTCTCTCTCTTCTCTCTCTCCTTCTCTCTCTCTCTCTCTCTCTCTCTCTCTCTCTCTCTCTCTCTCTCTCGCTCGCTCTCACTC